TGTGGCGCCCTCCCTCTTATGGGGTCGGATACTACGATGCCGTTGGGGTCACTCAAACCCCCAAAACTGAGTCTCTACTTTGGTCAATCCTCTTTGATCCGGGCCTTAATAAAAATTGGAGTGTTGTGAGGAGTTACCGCTCCATTTTAGAAAATTATTCTAATAATTGAGTTATTTGTTTTAGCTTGAGTGTCAACGTTCCAAAGCTTCTCTTTGGCCCTGGCAGCTTCTCCTATAATCCCTGGTTTTGATAAGTCCATTCGATCGATTCACATATTCATGGTAAATTCGGCCTTGGCTAACCATTTTATCAGCTGTGTTTATTGTAAAGACGATGTATACATCATGTCAACTAATATTCTAAGAACACTACGCTTATTTTATACTTAACCGCAACGTTACAACTGCTTATTGGTCAAGCAACTGATTGGGAGACATTAATGTGCACCCATAAAAAATTAATATTTCTACTATTTGACGGGTAACCTTGAATTGTCTTTGAAAAATATATTTTTGTTATGTTTGGTGGATTAAAATTGTTGTGAAAACTTGTGTGTTGGTGAAAAGTTACTATTACAGATTATACAAATCCAGTTTCAAACTACTACACTGTGCCATTAGCATACGCCATGGTGCAATGTTTTGCACAATTGCCAGTCTTTTGAATTTAATGCTCATACGGAATTTGATTTATCGAGCTTATATGACTGATGATAAAAAGCATCGACATTGTCCAAAAAATTCAACCCATTCTGCGACTTTCCTGTAGTGCCACTTTGAGTGATTAGAGATTTGCTCACGAATGGAAAACAATGGGATAAGCGAATGACGCAATACTTCAGATTTTTGGATTACTTGAGATCCACATGGACGACAGAAGATTCAGTTGGTCAAAGTCAGATGTTTACGGTCACCAGCTGAATAGAATGATCCAGAATGACAGTTGGCGTAATTTTAGAATACCTGGCTGAAATCTAACATAATTATAGTCGCTGGACAAATGGAGAGAATGTCGATATCAAAAATAATGAGGACCATGCATAATATATTGTTTTTATTTATCATCCTCGGATCTTCGGTTTTAACTCTGCAAGAGAATGGGGTAAGCTCTTGTGGAAAATTTAAGGAGGAATAAAAAATAATTCTTCCACTTTAACTTTATGACTTTCCAGTCTCGAAAATAATTTCCGACTAATCTGTCATATTCGTTCAATCAATTGCTGGGTAATGAATATAATTTTTTCTTTTTAGGACCGAAGTACAGGACTCATTCCCGAAGGAGATGACCCGCTGCTCTTAATTGCCACTCTTAGTGGCTCCTTCATGGGTGTCGGCCAAAGAACAGGAGAAATTCGTTGGAGCCACGACAATGAGCCCGTGGTCAAGGTCCCCTATGATGTATCCGAGAGATTATCTCCAATGTTTCTCCCCGATCCTAAGGACGGTTCGCTGTACCTTTATGGAGTTGAATTCGATGTCTTGAAAAAGCTCCCATTCACAATTCCCCAATTAGTTGCCAATAGTCCCTGTCGAAGTAGCGATGGAATTCTCTACACCGGTCGTAAAATCGATACTTGGTTCAGCATAGATCCAGTAAGTGGAAAACGAAAGCAATTTCTAGGGTTTGAAGAAGCTGATAGTACCTGTCCGTTGGACATTCAGGATGCAATTTTCGTTGGACGTACAGAGTACAATATAATAATGATTGACAGCAAGCAAAAAGACCGAAGGTGGAACATAACGTTTTACGACTATTCAGCATCAAAAATCGACGATGCATCGGACGATTATGATCTTGTACACTTTACAACGAGCTCTACTGGTAGAGTTGTTACGTTGGATCGAAGGCAAGGAATGGTCCTTTGGGAGTTAGATCTCAACAGTCCAGTAATTGGTATATATACTATGAGTAAAGATGGTTTAGTAACCATTCCCTTCACCAGTGTGGCTCAAGGGACCCTCGATAATCTCCTTCAGAGGTTCAGCTCCAAACCCAGTGATATACAATTATTTCCAACGTTGTATATTGGAGAACACCTCCACGGACTTTACGCTCTACCGTCCCTAGTTGATTCTTCTACAGCCACAATCTCCAGCAACAGTCGGCACCTCCTCCTCGAGGGCCCAAATATCCTTCCTCAAATTGGACAAAATGATAATAGCATTTCTCCCGAAGAGAGCTTTACAGGTGGTAATGAGCAATCCGGGAATAAGTTCCTGGATGAATTTTCTCAAGAGAATGATATAATTGTTCTTGGACATTATAAAGCACCCGCAGAATATAAACCACAGATTCAGCCCTTACAGATTACTGGACCATCTGATCCGATAATTCGGACGGAAGAAAAAGGCAACATTTCGACGAAAATTACAATTATCGTGCAGGGTCTTGATGAACTTGGCAATAGTACGGATTATAGAGAATGGAGGAAAATATTTATTGTAGCATACAATGGTACGAAGAAGTGGCTGAATCAGCAGGAAAATAAAGGGTTGAAGCTAGCGCTCATTATTCTTGTTGGATGTGTAATTACGATGTTTTGGTACTTGAATGCTCAGTTTAAGGAGTTCCAGCAGTTATCTCAGGGCTCCAGAGAAAACAGCAGAACTAACAGCACTGGAGGGAGAAGTGGGATAACGACGGTACCTGAAGAAATTGGAGAAGGCGCAGTAAAAGTGGGGAAGATTGTATTTCATATCGATAAAGTTTTGGGAAAGGGGTGTGAAGGAACTTTTGTCTACAAAGGAGAATTCGATGGACGGTCTGTTGCCGTGAAACGACTACTGCCCGATTGCTTCACATTTGCTGACAGGGAAGTGGCACTCTTGAGAGAATCCGATGCTCACGCTAACGTCGTTAGATATTTTTGCACCGAGCAGGATAGGATGTTCAGATATATAGCACTGGAACTGGCTGAAGCAACACTGCAGGATTATGTTGTCGGGAATTATGATAGGCAATCCATTTCTGTCAAGAATATTTTACTTCAATCAACTTCTGGACTCGCTCATCTACATTCTCTTGATATTGGTGAGTCATCTTATTGAAGTGAATATTATAGAACTAAATAACTAAATCTTTCCATCCCCCATACTCATCAAACCGTTATATCAGAAACCGTTGGATACCCCATCATGAATCAAGAGTCGTTCAATGCTTTATCTTATTATTTCTTCAGATTTCATTAATGCTAAATTTCAAAATGTTCGCCCACAATATATTTGAGTTGGTCATAGTGAAACACTTAATTTTCTGGGCATATGGATATATAATGTTACATATTTTATGACTGATGCGAGAAAGATTCGCACAACTTCGTAAATCCTTTTTAAATGCACCGCGAATTTGATGAAATACTGAATTTGTACGATGAATTTGTACTTGGATAGTTCACAGAGACATAAAACCGCAGAACGTATTGCTGTCATCTCCAGGAGCACGGGGCGAGATACGCGCCATGATATCTGACTTCGGTCTCTGCAAGAAATTACAATTAGGACGTATGTCATTTTCCCGTCGATCAGGAGTGACTGGTACCGATGGTTGGATAGCCCCCGAGATGCTGAACGGTGAACGAACAACGTGCGCCGTCGATATTTTTTCCCTCGGCTGTGTCTTCTACTATGTTTTATCAAATGGAAAACACCCATTCGGTGATACACTCCGCAGGCAAGCAAACATTCTGTGTGGAGAAAGTGACTTATCCTTTCTCCACGATGTTCACGATCATAACAAAGAACTAGCTCTAGTTCTAATCAGAGCAATGATTGACAGTGATCCCACCAGTCGACCTCCAGCTGTTGCGGTTGAGCGTTTTCCTTTTTTCTGGAACTCGGCGAGAATTCTTAATTTTTTCCAGGACATAAGTGACAGAGTGGAAAAGGACGAGCCAAACAGTCCAGCCCTCCTGTCTCTGGAAGCTGGAGGGAGTCAAGTCGTTTATTCTGACTGGAGACAGCGTATAGACCTTGAAGTCGCTAATGACTTGAGAAAGTACAGAAGTTACAAAGGTCAGAGTGTGAGAGATCTTCTGCGAGCACTGAGAAATAAAAAACATCACTACAGAGAATTAACTGCAGAGGCTCAAGCAAGCCTAGGCGACATCCCAGAAAAATTTACAGAATATTGGTTATTGAGGTTCCCCTCTCTTCTCAGCCACAGTTGGTGTGCAATGCAAAGGTTTAGGAAAGAACCCACTCTTCAGGATTATTACGATCCCGAGTACGAATACACAACGTATTCCGCTTATGAGCAGGTAGTTAATGTGCCAAGAAGAGTGAGTAGTGAGGATGCCCTTTCAGAGCATGATTCGCCCACTTCTAGAACTCCAAATTGGAGATTCAGAAATGGTGACGATTGGAGTCCTAATCGATCCCGGTTTAGATCATATAAGAGGAAGAATCAAGAGAGAAAGAAAAACGAGGGGGCCTTAATCTGGACATTACCATCTGCCAGTTGAGTTTTATCGTTTTCCTTTCGTTTTGCATTGTCAAGGTATTTCTGCGACAATAACTTGTGATATTTCTTATGGTCAATGACATAACCTACTGGTCATTATGTACAATATAGGAGTAGATGTGAATGTCCATTCTTTTTTATCACTTTAGCATTCGAAAAGGGTTGGTTTCATTGGAAATACTCCAATCCCTTAATTTTTTTCTTTCAAGTTTAATTAGTTTTTCCATTTCGTACAGAATATATTTAATTGTATCGGAATAAAATGTATGTATACATATGTATTAGTTTATCGCAAGTATCGAGGCAATGGGCACAGACACGTTTATATTATAAATAGAATATTCAATTTGATATAACTGAAGTTTAAGTGACAAATTGATTGAATGCAGATAATATTATGTGAATACTATATTTCTGTATACTTTACACGATTTTATTGATGGTGTTTCACTGAGAGTGAGTGAAATAAATTATGATAAAAAATTAATCAAAAATGTCTAAACAATGCACATTGCAATTTGTATTTTTTTATCACACAATATTGGTAGTTATGCAGAAAAAATTCAAGTTTTCTTAAGAAAGAGAAACAGAATCGCAAAAACCTCCAATTAAGGTCCTTCTATTTAGAAGTTGAAAGAAATTAGTACGATGTATAGTTATTCAAATACCGTACCTCTAATTATTGTCGCATGATTATCACATATCCCATTAAAACTTCAAACCATAAATTAGTTCCATCCAAGAATTCGCATCGGTTGAACTTTGAGTTCTCGATAAAACTGAAGCACCCCTAATTAAACTGCGACAAAATCTGCAGATTTTTTTATAAAATTTTATCAATTATTTTTATATACACATGTGTAACAATATATTTGTTATATATCGATACAAATCCACCGTATATCTTTATATTTTATACTTTATATTTTTTTTAACATTTTTTAAAATATTTTGGCATCTGCCAAAAGCTCATAAATAATTAATCGTCTCGTACATTTCATATTCGACCCTTATAAAATATATTATTTTCCAACAGGTGTAAAATTACCTGTACTATTGAAAGTACGTGGGCTGATATATTTTTCACAGCAAGGTGGAGGGCATTTTGTGTCACTGGACGTGAAAAATTATTTAACAAAGAGAAAACGAACTCGTAAAATTCATTGCTTGGAAGCATGCATTTTACTTCTATGCTTAAAACTAAATTTATATTTCTTTACATCATTATATAGCTGGAGGAGTTCGCACGATATCCCCGTAGGTGTACGCCTTCCCTTGTTCATCTACTCCTGGGGGGTAGAAGTATAGAAACTGATGCCGCAGTCTGTGCGATGGTCACAGACATCGTACAGTCGTAGATCGCGTGTCACAAAACGAGTAGATACCCCGTTTTCTCTTGCCGCGACGGCAGTCAATACACATTTTTTTATTTCTCATCGTTCGTTCAACCGCAGACAAATGTATTAGAAAAAAATGTTTTCACATTTTCAATTTTTCGTTTTTTTGTCACCATTATCAATGTCTTCCATAATTTAGAAAGTGTTCAGACTAACAAATAATCTCTTTAATATACTAATAACATCTTAATGAAAATGAACGATTAACGTCGACGAAAAAATGTGAATATCAATCATAAAATAATGAACAGTTATGTTGTGAAATTCAATGAATTTTGTGGAAATGATTGATTGAATTTGGTGATGTCACCCATCTGGTCATCTTCTGAGCGTCCAATATCAGTGAGAACAGTTTGGGTGGATGGAGTGCGTCATGCAATATTAACACCTGATGATCCAGTTCTCTCATTACAAACCCGTCAACGACCCTTTACGTCAACCTTACCCACCAAATCAAAATCTCCATCGGTCAAGTATATGTGCAGTGAGTCCGTACGAAATTCAGAGAGTCTAGACAGTTGTTTCGTAAACTTCCATGTGGTTGTAAACAAAAAAGACGTAGAAGAGCAGAGAAAAGTTGTAGCTCGACGACAATCGGCGCCAATAAATCCCATTGAAGTAGTGAAGCCATTAGACCTAGAGCTGAATGGAATTTTAAAAATCCGAAATAGTAACACTGCAAGCAATGATAACGAAAACGACTCTGGAAGCAACGCTACAGAGACATCAATAAATAATAATACTGACTCTAATTACAATCACATTGAAGACTTGTCTGCTAATTGTGTCACGATTGTAGAGGATTGTGATAATGATCATGGCATTAAGAGGATCAGCTCCAATACATTGTCAGATCGAGTGCTCCATTGGTTGAATATGTCTGGATGCGTAAAAACTGGTGAAAAAAAGGAAATGCATACTATAAATTATATAAAAAATAGAAAGTCTCTAGTTAGAGCGAAGGTTTGCTCGTTTCGAAGACAAAATTCAGGTGTTTCTCGAGACCTAGTTACAATTCAACATTACAAATTATCGATGAAGAAGCCGGAGTATTCAATCCCAGATTTTAATAGCGGGAATGAAAATTCTATGGATAAACAGCCTTTTGACGTTTCCCAAGGGAAGAAGAGTGATTTCAAGTATCGTAATTTGTCTCTAAATAACCAATCGGTATGGTCACCCATTGTCAGACCACAACTGCATATTTTTATGCCGGATCTAATCTCGAGTGGAGAGAGTACGTCTTCCCTGGACACTTTGGTACAAGATGAGTCGTCACAACACAGTGAAGTCAATTAAACGGAACATTATTACTCTTCCATTTAACTAGTGATTAATGATTATTAATTAATTGGATCCAATTAGCATTGAGTTATAGAGATAGATATCAGAACCATTATGTCCTTCCAATTATTAAAAAAACAAATGAGTAATAATAGTGTTGAAGAGATTCATATAGTGATTGTCGTTGATTAATAACACGGGGAAAAATATTCAATAAAAATTACGGAATGATCTGAATCAAATTTGCAAATTCCGCAAAAAACTTCGGCATCCGTATTTCGCTCTGGAATTACAGAAAAAATAGGCTATTTTTAGTGACTATTTCTCTTCATGGATTCGCTTTCGAATAAATGGATCTTGAATAGTCTATAATATCCTTTTTTGTTAAAATTTTTTGTTACTATTGATTGCAATTTTATCGAAAAAACTGTGTTCCATCAGAATAGCCATGCAGGACATTGAAATAAATAAATAAAATGGAGATGAATACATTTATTATAGAATGGATTTCTGTAAATGTTTATTAGAGTATGAATATAGCGAATTCTGATCTTAATTATATTTAAAACGGGCCAGTCTTAAACTCTTTTCTCACTTGATTAACAGAGTATTATAATTAATTTTCCAAGTCATAATTGAATTAATTTAAAATGAATAGAAATTCCAAAATAATGGTAGAAAAATACTTTTTTGGTGGGACAATGTTCCAAAAAAATATTTAAACATAAATAATTCAATTTCATCCATTCTGTATTAAAAGTTTTTTTGAATCACGATGAAATTGATGGTGCTGATAATTTTTCAGTTTATCAGGGAGAAGATGGAAAAAGATTTATTTCATTTTATCTTTTTGTTTTCTATCTTGTCATCGGTATAATCCACCTTCACCGACACTAACCAAAATCGTCAGTTCGATTAACTTAAAATTGATTCGTGCCGGGGTCTACCAAGAGGTCGAGGTATCGAGATCGGATTTATTGGATTCGGCAAGAAGCCGAGTGCCAATGGGTGCTGAGCATCGTAATCGATTGCACGATTGACGATAGAGCAAACATTATAGCGTGTCAGAGCCATTTGAAAATTGCAATGTCTCTGAGTTTGAAATTGCGTGTGGCTTATGGCAAATGAGTCTGGAGATTTGCTTTAACGTCTCGTGGGTGACGTATTTTCAAGCATAGTTTGTTATATTAACGACTGCAGAATGTCATATTGACACACAAGCCGTATCATAATTGAGGTAAAAAATGCTGAGAGCTCTTGCGTAGTTTTCTTGTCAATTGAAATTTAATTTTTCATATCATTAGATAAAGGGCGCCGATGTACTTATCACAAGGTTCTAAAGTTAAGTAGAATGATCATCACAGGTGACCAATCACAATTTACATCGTATAACTTTCAGAATAAAGTATAAAATCTGGTTTTTATCATTTTTGGAAGTGACTCACCTTTTTGAGTAATTCAAATTCGAATATGTGGAAGCGTATTTGAAAGATTATAAGATATCGTTTATGCATTATTTTATACTTCAAAGTATCGCAAATTAAAGATTGATAAACGTTATTTAACGATTAGTTTTACATGATTTAATTTCTTCCGCGAGAAGAAGAAAGAAACTCTACTCTATGCTTTTTTAGTTCGGTACAATTGTTCAATGATTTCTATATATTTATACGAAATAAAGTCTGTATTCAATTAATTATTTGTATTTTATCAGTTCCGCTTACGACTAAATCCTGTGTACCATCTTGTAATTAAAGTGAAGATGACAAATTTGATATTCATTATCTGGTGTGTATATAATACATGGGAATTTTCATTTTCTCAGAATCTTCGAGGCGGAACAAGTATATTTAGAGGGAGATAAATAAAATGTAAGATGGTGCAAGTAAACCTTACATGTGCATGTATGTTTTTGTTATTTATAAAAAAATACGTTATGTGTGAAAATATAAATATAAAAATTGACGTTCTCTATTTAAAGGAGGACATTGTTAATGAACATTCAGTTAATTTCGATGTCACAGTTTAATATCATTTCATTCGATTCATTCCCATTCGAACTCATGCAAATTCATTTGTTCAGATTTTATTTCAACCTGTAAAATTGCTGTTCAATCAGGTGATTATTCCGTATAGATGCCAGTACTTTCCGAAATGGGTAGCGCCGAGTGGGAAGCAAATTGTAACTTTAGGCAAATGGAAATCAACTGACTGCAATCTCAAGGATTTCGTGCTGTGGGGTACTTAGTCATAGTAACGTATAGCTTACTATAAATGGGTAATGCATTTTGGGCTGTTAATCACTTTGGCGAAAGCTGTGCGAAACAAATCAGCAAAACACTGACAGTCTGCACGTACTCTGGAATTGTAGAATTTCGAAAGTTTAATGTCGTTTCTTTTATTTCGGTAGATATTCAGGTGCAGTTACAGAAACTTTAGAATACTTGACACCGAGTTTCCTTCAAACTTAGAGGAGATGAGCTCTATAAATTCCAGAGCACGTCGGACGTGTAATAACCATAACTCGATTTTTGCAGTAATTTAGTAAACATAACAATTTTTATTAGGAGATTAGGAGGAATGGATTTCTAACGCATAGGGTAACGGATTCAGAATTAAATTCTTGATCGATCGACGTTGGCTTTATTCTTTCACCTCGATTCGGGAAAAAGCCCGGAATTTTCAAACAAGGAAAATTCACCCGCAATTGTACCGCAATTTATAAATGTAATGGTCCATCACTAATTGGGATTAAGAAATGAAACCAGTGTCATTGATTCAGAATTAATTTCTTGATCGATCACCGTCAGTTTATTTTTTTCATCGGAATTAGTCGGGGAAAATACATTTTCAAATCTACGGAGGATTGCTTGGCATTTTTCAAAAGCCCTCGTCAATGGCCTTAGAACTCACTTTACGACTTGCCTCACTATTATCGACACTCAGCGTCATACCCTACCTTATCAACATAGCCGACCCCGCGCCCTGTCGTATCCACATTCGCAGCCTCAGAAAATTATTGACACCAGTAAACAAACTAAGTCTTTATATTATACTTTATTTTAACCAAGTTCGTTGTTTACTCAAAGCCAGTATTTCCTTAGCGTTTCTCACAGGATATATTGTGATGACACCACGCCTTTAACATTATGAGTACGTCCATTTACTCTTGTGACATATTACTCAAAGAATACATTACTATTTAGAATTAAAAACCGTATTTGTCCATTCATGACTTTTAACGAATGGAGGGTATTTTTTCACATATAAATTATGACTTCCGTCATGTTGAAGAGTACGAGTATCAATGGTCTTTATGTTTGGCTGAAAATTATTCTGCATTTATTAGTTCTCCAAGGTTTGTACAATCTACGTTGAGAGTTTTTAAGAAGAAAAAAATAATACGAGGAAAATGAAAAATTTCAGGATACTATCAATTCGTACCAGAGACTAGTCAAGAGGCCTCCCTCCACGTCTTCAAGACCTACAATGATGTTGCTACATTTCATTACACAGTTCCTAAAGAGGTGCATCGTGCTACCTGGCAGTTTGCAGCTTTCATGGATGGTAGCCACTGCATCCCCAGAGAGGTGAACATATACTTGCAATGGGGAAGTTATCCAATAATTTCTGCCGATAATGCCTCGTTCCCCCCTGCCATGAATCCAGAGAGAAATGGCACAATTGTTATAAAAACATGGACAACACACGAGGCTGAAACAACAGTAGTGTTGCCAGTAAATGGTCCAGAGCCTGGGGATTGGTTTGTAGGTGCTTACATGACTTACTGGGATGAGAAAGTACAGCAGCAAGGGCTGGGATACAAATGCCATTACAGTATTGGATCGGTGGCTCTCTGGCAGCAGGTAAATGGCATCCAGAATATCCCCATTACACAGGAATCCATCATGAGAACAACCCAGCCCTCCACTTATTACAAAATTTTTATTCCCTCGGGCACGTGGAGCTTCAACATTACTATCTGGGGATGTAAATTCTTATTACGATCTGGTAATACACCTTCCAATTTATGTATCAAGGATTTAGTAGTTCAGGGACGTGTCCTACCTGTTCTCGATCACACGAGGATCTCGATAAAACTTACTGCCAATGAAACTTATACTTTTGAAGAAGTCACACCTTTTGAGGATACTTATTATTATTTACTAGTGGCTTCTAATAGTATAGTAAGTTTCAAGATCAAAGTTTCAATCTTTGAATGTCCAGTACAAATTACTGAAAGTACCTTAACCCGTCGGTGGGTATCAATGCTCACTACAACTCAAAAGCTTGGTTCCCCAGAATTTCACCAAAATTCGGTGACATTTGAAGGCTCAGAGAATGTATCAAGTGATCAGTGTGCTCGGCGTTTTCAATTGATACGTGTTAAAGAGCTTCCAACATTTTCTGGCGTTTACTTGCTACAAGGGAGAGAGTGGCTGACTCCATGGATCATGCTGACAGACGCTAGTCCAGTCATTGCTCAATTTGATATTCTCCCATTGATTGATATCGGTGGATCATTAGGGATTGGCGTTCACTTGGAAATTGACAGAGCATTTATGAATCAAACAGTAGTGATGTCCGTCTGCATCAGGAGGGGGCAGATGCCATTGAGAAGAAAAGGAGAGATTGTTTGTGACGATGACAGGATGGCAATGAGACTTAACACTAATGGTAAACACGACGGGAATTTGTTGATACCGTATCCACAGCCTGGCACGTGGTATATCGGTCTGGAAGCAAGATGTTTCAATAATGGGAAGTTATCAAAATGTGCAATAGGAGAGATTTTAGTATCTCTTGACATCAGAACTCATCGCTGTTCTTTCCCTGGTTCCCATCCGTGTGGGCATTATGGTGTTTGCCAAGAGGTTCATCGCAATTTTATCCATTTCACGACATGCAACTGCTTCGGTGGCTACAGAGGCTGGGGCTGCACAGACTCAACAAATGTCTATCAACAACCGACACAAGTACTATCGTCTGTAATGCTTATTGTCAGTAATTTGTCATTCATTCCTGCGATTTATTTAGCCGTGAAACGCAGACTCTATGCCGAAGCTTTAGTTTATTTAGCCACGATGGTGTTCTCAGCACTCTATCATGCCTGTGATCAGAAATCCATGACCTACTGCATTGCAAAATATCAAGTTCTGCAGTTCAGTGATTTTTTTAGCAGTATTCTCGCATTCTGGGTGACACTCATCGCGATGGCAGAGTTACCAGTGCAATTTATTTCCGTTTGCCATATGTTGGGGGTTTTTATTATTTCGTTTGGGGTTGAAGCCGATAGAACAAGTTTAACTGGAATTTTGGTGCCTTTCATTTCTGGGGCTACGATACCCATTGGAGCCCATTCATATCGATGTTATAAGACTAAAGTTTGGAGAAGACCTAATGGAGTTGTTAAATTATCCATTGGGCTGTTGTTGGCCACCATTGGTCTCATTTTATTCTTAATGATTGAGACCGAAGCTAATTATCAATATATTCACAGTTTATGGCATATAATTATTGCCTTTTCATTGGTATTTTTGTTACCAGCACAAGCTATCAAACCTGTTAATTTTAATGCAAAAGAGCCAAGTGATTCTGATAGGGGATTAATTAATCCTACAGCATCCGAAAGCCCGGTTTTTACTATTCTCCCTAAACAAGTTGGTGTATCCATCGAGAATTGATTTATTATTATTGTTATTATTATTACGATTATGTCGATACCAGATTTTAAATATTCTATTTGGATTTCTGATGGAATTTTTTTCCTATCGGAATCTTGAATGTGCCAAAATGGAGACTTATTATAGTAGCAGGAAATCGAACAATGCTTTTACCACTTAATATGCCAAAGCATCGATACTCTCGATATTTTTCGTCCAGAGTTTTTAATAGTTCTATGACATAATTGTAATTGAGACAAGAGTTTTTACGAATACGGAGATGCAATAATTAGACTAGATATAAATGTATTGTATTTTATTATCATCTACATGTCATTATTTTTATTACAAGTGAATTACTCGAACGTGATTGATCAAGTGTTATCGTCGGTCTGTATTCTCTCCAACGCAAGCTCGGAGGCAATAAATTTACTCAATTCAACAAAAAGCAGGTCTTTTAAATTTTCACATTCCGTTGATACGCGAATTTTCAGGCTCTGAGTATTCAACAGCACGAAGTTAATTCTGATTGCATTTTCCAAATTATGTGCCATCTCCAGGATTTCTTCGCACCTGGAATTAATAAAATAATATTATTTAGCTTTAATACTCGGAGAAATAGAGAAAATTTTTATCTTCTAATACCATTGAATTGCAGATTCCAATTCTTCTCGTTCTTCATGTGCAAATGATTTGACAGTGTCATGAATTATTGAAATACGCTCTGCAATTGAAATTGCTATTATAAACTCCTCGATATCTTTTAGTCCAGACGTTATCGCTAAAATATAAATTGGATTACGAAGAGTTTCTCATATTATATGCAAGTATTACCTATTTTCACTCGGCTCGCTAAATCTTCTACGGCTTCATTGAAATGCACGAAATTATCATTGGTTTCTGAGAGCTTTCCGAATTTCAAAATCCTTATAAATTCGTCAGTTGAATAAATATATTGAGTAGGTATTGCAACAATGCTATTCAACGCTGCATCAATTTCCTTTATGTCAGGGTTGAACGTCACGAAATAATCGGGAGATAGGTCAACTTCGACATGAAGCAAAGGTTTTCCACGAAAAAATTGTAAAATTGATAACATGGTTCCTCTCATATTCCTCACAAGGGATTCTTCAAAATTCTTTATAACTTCACCAACGTACGTTGTCCAGTGTCTAGTGGGAGTCTCTCCATATTTAGTTTTACGATGCAGCACATATAAATCAGAGAGTATAGATTCACTTTCCTCTCTCATTAAAAGCAAGTTTTTATTCTTGATCGATTCGAGATATTCTCGAAATTCATCCAGAGTGTAAGTAATATTACTTGTGCCTTCTACAAGTAGAAACTTTGCGATAGCTTCACAAGAATAACGAATACGAGCATCTGCAGCTTTATACACCTCCACGACGTCTTTAAATAGGAGAACAGTTTTCAACCACTCGGCATAAATTTTATCAATATTCTCCACCGCCCATGTGCATTTCGGGAGTGCAAGAGTAATTGAATGTTCTACCTCATTTAATGCATTCTCCAATAATAGTCGTTCCTTCTTCGCCACTCTTCTTATAATTGAATTATAGAGATCACATAAGCATTGGATTTTTACGTATCTCGACTTCACTGGCTGCCATTTCTGGAGGAATTTCAAGCTCATTAATTTCGAATCGTATTTTAGAAGCTTCCATTCGCTTATTTCTCGCATATTCTGGAGATATGACTCGTCCATGTTTATACCAAGCAAATCTTCATTGGGCGAATTTAGAAATTTGACAACAGATTCTTTCAAGATATTACGAATCTCTACATCAGTTTGAACATCTTTCTCCCACAGTGAGAAGAAGAACTTTTCCTTTTCGGTAAGAGCGCTCTGAATTAGCTTATATTCCTTAATAATACGTCTGTAATAAAATTATATTCATAATATCATTCATAGTGAAGAAAAAAGAAGCAAGAGAAGAATATCAGGAAATAATCTTCAATACACTGAACAGCGCTTGCATGGTCCACTTACAGCTGAATATTACTGTCTCCCAGCCAATCGGAAGCATTAATCATGATATTGAATTGATTATTTATATAATCGGCCTTAATTCTTATTAGCATTGCCGACCTAATACTGCGCTTTGTTACCATATCATCCAGAACATCTTTTTCTCGGATGTCGATGGCTTTTAATTCGCTATCGAAAATTTTCCACGCTGCTGTCCAATAGTTTCGAATGGTCTCTCGCAAATTTCGTCTTGTCACAAATCTCTTCATGGCGTATAAGGCTCCTATACCCTCCTCTATATTCTGAACGTCTTCGAATATCTCTTGGATAAGATTTTTCACCATATTGTCTATACTCTGAATTCTTTTGTTGAGTGATACAATGCGATCCAGCCAGACTGTCGTGGTGACGTCCAGAATAAAATAGCGAATTTCCTTCACTTCTTCTAAGATTTCGGTAAAAGATTCTTCAATTTTTTTATACTGCAATTCGTGCTCCATTCCTCTAGCTCCGCCAATCATCTTTACCTCCTCGGAGGTATCGTACACAAATCTAGCTTCTGAAAATTCGATGAGGTCTTGACATCTTTGAATAAAAATATTCACGTGACAAAATGCTGTTGTCTTGTTGATTTTTGAGATGACTGCAGTGTCCGATTGTGCGTCCATTCGCGATATTCTGTCAAATATTCGGAGAAATGTTTGGCAACAGTTTATCGAATTCTCCAGCATTCTCTTTCCTTCACTCGCATCGCCACTTAGTATTGCATCTAAATTTATGTAGTTTTTGCATTGCTCGATTATTTGGGTGCCGAGGGCTCGGCATAAAGTGTCTATCTTATCTCTGAAGATAAATGTAAACAATAGAAATCAGTATTTTTAGTTATGCTTATGTCCAAAGGAGTTTTTGCAAATTTTGTACTAACTCGCTGGTGTAGAATTTCGATTCTAAACCCACGAAACGAATTTGATGGAGTATTTTCGTTGAATATTCCTCAATTCCACTGGGAACATCGAAACTAACACAGTTGTCAACGAATAAATTCAAATACATGACATTAGAACTTGCTTCTGCTACCAGTTCCTCCACTTCTTCTGTCAGAGAGTGGAATTGTTCGACGCTTGATGAATTCACTTCTTTCAGCATTTTCACGATTGTTAGCACAGGATTACTCTTCAGCTGGTGATGAAGACAACTTAAATTTTCAACTGCAGAAGGGAATAGACTATTTAATGCAGAAATATAAAATGAGAACACAAAAAATTGTGGCAAAGGAGTGGATCCTCAATTACATCGATAATTCCAAAACTCTATTTCGCTCATGATACTTCCACACGTGG